AATGTGACAATCTTACAAAAGTATACTTCCATTTTCCCCCTTTGTAATATTGCTGTCATATATTTTATTCTTACATATGGTATGGATGCTACACTACATTGGTATTATTTTTGCCAATTATCTTGTAAAGAAATTTAAATAATAAGGGAAAGAAGTCATATATTTACCCACACAGTTATCATTTCAAATGCTCTTCTTTCCTTGGTGTAGATATCAGTTTCATCTGGTATCATTTTCCTTCTGCCCAAAGAACCTCCTTTAACATTTCTTGTAGTGGAGGTCTGATGGTGATGAATTCCTTCAGCTTTGTTTGTCTGAAAGACTTTATTTCACCTTCACCTTGAAAACATTTTCAGTGGATACAGAATTCTTCATTCACAGGTTTTTTCTTTCAATACTTTAAAGATGTGCTGCACTGTTTTCTTGTTTGTACTTTTGACGAGAAATCTTCTGTTATCCTTATCTTTGGTTCTCTTTATTTCACATGGTTATTTTCTTCTTGCAGCTTTTAAGATTTTCTCATTATCATTGTTTTAAACAATTTGATTATCATGTACCTTGGTGTGGTTTTCTTCATGCTTCTTGTACTTGAGTATCTTAGATACGTGGCTTTGTAGTTTTCATCAAATTTGGAAATTTCTCAGCCATTATTTCTGCAAATATTTTTTCCATCTCCATCTCTCTTTTCTCCTTAGGGATTCCAGTTACACCTTTTTCCTCCAGCTTTATTGAGATATAATTGACATATAACATTGTGTAGGTTTAAGGCATACAACACAATGATTTGATGTACATTTATATTGCAAAATGATTACCACAATAAGGTTAGTTAATACATCCATCATCTTACATAGCTACCTTTGTGTGTGCGTGTGTGTGTGTGTGTGTGTGTGTGTGTGTTTGGTGAGAACTTTTAAGGAACACTCTCTTAGCAACTTTCAAGTACACAATAAAGAACTGTTAACTATAGTCACCATGCTGTACATTAGATTCCCAGAACTTATTCATCTTATAACTGGAAGTTTGTACTCTTTGACTACCTTCACTCATTTCTCCCACACTCCTGCCCCCTGCAACCACCAATCTACTCTGCTTCTGTGAGTTCAGGTTTTTTTTAGATTCCACATATAAGTGAGATCATACAGTATTTGTCTTTCTCTGTCTGACTTATTTCACTTAACATAATTCCCTCAGGATTCATGTGTGTTGTTGTAAATGGCAGAATTTTCTTCTTTTTTATGTGTGAATAACACTGCATTGTATATATGTATATGTATGCGTGTGTGTATATTTGTATATATATATCTATATAGATATATAGATATGTCTCACATTTTCTTTATTCATTCATCCATCAATGGACACTTAGGTTGTGCAATGAACATGGGACTGCAGATATTTCTTCAAGATAGTCCAATAAACTTATAGTAGCCCACCTGAAGATGTCCCACAACTCACTAATGTTCCATTCACATTTTACATTTTTTAAAATTTTTTTATATTTTTAGCAGTTTCTATTGCTATGTCTTCAAGTTCATTAATCTTTTCTTCTGCAATGTTTATCTGCCATTAATTTCATCCAGAATATTTTCCATCTTACGTTTTGTAGTCTTAATCTTTAAAAGTTCTATGTTGTCCTTTTATACATCTTCCATGTCTGACTTAACTTTTTGAATATATAAGATATAGTCATCATAACTGTTTTCACGGGCTATCTATTAATTCTAACATCTGGGTCAGTTCTGGATTGGTTTTCATTGATTCATTTAGCTCCTCATTACAGGTCATATTTTCCATATACCTGCTAATTTTTTAAGAGGGTCAAGACATTGTGATTTTGATTTTCTTGGGTACTAGGTATTTCTGTATTCCTATAAATATTCTTGAGCTTTGTCTGGAATGCAGTAAAGTTATTTGCAAACAGTTTGATTTTTTGAAGGTGTTGCTTTTAAGATTTGTTAAGCAGGACTGAAGCAATGTTCAATCTACGGTAAGTATTCCCTAGTACTGAGTAAAAGTTCTGTTTACTCTGTCCAACGCCCAATGAATTATGAGGCTTTTCCTGGTCTTATTGTTGGGAACAGGCACTCAGAATTTTTTAGGACAGTTCTTTTCCTGGCATCAGCTAGTTTCCTCACATGGATGCACTAATCAATATTCAACCATATACTTGAGCAGAACCTTCCATGGATCTCTGGAGTTGCCTCTATGCAGTTCTCTCCTCTTTGACACACTGTCTAGTGAATTCTCGTGATCTTGGTCTCCCCAGAATCTCACCTTCATCTCCTCAACTCAAGAAGTCCACCAGGCTCTGGTTCAGTTCCTCCTCCCTGCACTATAGCCTGAAAACTTGCTCAAGGCAATAAGCTGGAACCATCATAGGGCTCACCTTATTTATTTCCCATCTCTCAGACACTGTTGCCCTCACAGCCTGATATTTAATGCTTTTTCCATCATTTCATATATTTTGTCTACTTCTTGGTTCTTTGAAGTGGGAAAGTAAATCTAGTCCCTGTTCTTGGCGAGGGCACAAGTCATAATACTACATATTTTGATTGAGTAAAACTTACGAATTCAGAAACACAGCATTTCCATTCTGACCTACAAAACAGCAATTTCATATGTTTCAATCTAATATTATGCTGTTTTGAAAGAGTGTGAGAGATTTTGATTAAATATATCTAATAGCCCAACCTAAAAATGAGGTGAGGTGCATTTGATGAACCTTATCCATGGTGAACCTATTTAAGGCTTGTCTTTATTTTCAAATTACTCAAAAATCATCACAAACTCCTTACAAAATATTTTGTTGCCACATCACCCATTTGATTTGGACCTACTGTTCTACTTGCTGCAACCAAAAATTTTATCTCATGGAAAAAAGTCAACATTTCAATCTAAATATACAGGCACATCTTGGAGATATTGCAGGTTCGGTTCCAGACCACTGCAATAGAGCAAATATTGCAATAAAGCAAGTCACACAAATTTTTTGGCATCCCAGTACATATAACAGTTATGTTTACACTATCCTGTAGTCTATTAAGTGTGCAACAGCATTGTCTAAAAAAACATACATACCTTAATTAAAAAATACTTTATTGCCAAAAAATGCTAACCATCATCTGAGCCTTCAGTGAGTCATAATCTTTTTGCTGGTGGAGGGTTTTATAAAAAACGCAATATCTGGGGGGCAGAACAAGGCAGAGTGCAATAAAATGAGGTACACCCATATAAGCTTCAATCATTCCCTACATATAAATTCCCTTCTATCCAGTTAAACTCATCATGTAATACTACTTCTCATGACAAAGTTTCTCTGCACAAAGAACTGGACCACAGTTTCAACTCAGCTAGGCAGAAGGAAACAGCATCTAATACATCAGGATACCAACTTTCAGTTATCTATATGTCACAAATGAGACATCTTTTTTCTAGAAATTTCCAAAATGAAAAGGTAAATTCACTTAAAAGACTTATACTTAGGGATCAGAAGATTAGGAAGCACAAAATTAAGATAAAGAGAAATTTGTCAATCTATAGTGGTACTGATTACTCACCCCTTTTTCTTGTTACAGTCAACCTGCACACACCCTAATCTCATCCCAACCAAAGGTGTGGGCATGTGAGCTCTTTTCGGGTACTCTTATGCAAAAAATTCCGCTTTTTTAAAACATGACAGGTAATCTTATTAAGCAGATTTAAATGTGATTCAAATCCTTGTCACTACAAGCCAAGAACTCCATTTAAATTTGAAACCTATTATTTAAAATTTTAAAAGCCTTAATCAGAATTCATGACTCAGTGACAAAAAGAAAGAAATGAGAAAAAATGCTATGAGGTCTTTGCATATGTGTATACGTATCTAAACTGCCATATATGTGAACATGTGTATCTAAACTGCCATACATACACAAAAACCAGAACACAGGAAGAAATTTGGTGACTGAGAGTTGAGATAGGTAGAAGTTTATTATTGTATACCTTTTCATATCTCCTGAATTTTGAACCATGAGAATGTAATTATCTATTCAAAAAGAAATTTAAATAAATAAAACTGGTGAAGAAATTTGCCTAACCACAATTAGAAATAAACTGCCATGATAAATGACTCCAAGTGTATCTATTTTACCTTTTTTTAATTCAATATAGATTATAATCTTATGAACTAAGATAGTGTTTCCCAAAATTTCTTAACAGGAATCACCTGAGTTGTTAAAAACAGCTATCTGGATCCAATTTAGATAGACCAAATGAATTAAGACAATCTGCACAAGGAAGACAATAATCTGCACAAAAAGTGCCGCCAGGTGATAAATTAGGAAAACCCTTAACTAAGGAATGAGATTAATCTCTGGAAAGAACAACAACTTTCCAATTAGACAACCCTAGATTCATTTCTTGGCTCTTCCATTTACCTGTGTTATCCCAGATAAGTTACTTGGCCTCTCTGGGGCTCAGTTTCCTTATCTATAAAATGGATATAATACTTCCAGGGTTGTTATAAAGATTAATCTATGTAAGGGGTGTGGGACATAATCTTTCTTTAATGCTTAACTTTACCTTGGTTCTTTTAGAAAAAAATGAAGATATCTGGCATGTAGATATCCAATAAATATTACTTTCCTTTCCTCTCATGCCAAATTATATAGATATTGGGGTATGTCTCTCTAATTTAACAAAACTGCTGTTGAAGCAGTATTTATTAATCATTAATCTTCTCAGACATATAAAATTTTCTTAGTCACTAAACTAAGAACCATCCTGCCAAAAAAGCATTTAACTAGGTCAGTTTAGTTGGCTTATTACTGACAAGTAGGATAAGTATCACTCACTTTTTAAAGAATACTCCCATCCTATCTCAAAGATGTTACTTTATACACTTTAACAAAATGAATAAAAAATATTAAAATGTTGTCTTGTCGACTTTTGCCTTAATCCAAATTATACCATCCCTAAAATAATTTCTCTCAAAAAGAAAAATCGTCTAATAATTGTACCTCTGTTACGTTTCTCTCTCGTAAGGAAGCCAACTCATATGGATCCACAAAAAGTCCTGTCGGGATGTACTGTTTAATTAAGAGTCGGCAGGTCTGAAAGTCCTCAATGCTTTCTCCAAATTTCACTTTTATTAAAAGGTCTCTGTAAGACAAGTATGTTTAAAGTAAATTTCTTCATTCAATTGTTAAATGAGATAGCATAACATTACATTCAAATTAGTAGAAATACCATATTTCAAATTCGTTTTTTAAAAGATTATAAAGTCAAATGAAATATTTGTATCATGTCAGAACCACCCATTAGATCGTGCATAAATTCATGTCATAAGCCACAGTATAGTACTAGTGCGAAACAGACAATGGTCAATGGAAAGGGATAGAGTCCAAAAATAGATACACACAAATTTTTAATAAAGGTGCCAATATAATTTGATGGGGAAAGAAGAGCCTTTTAACCAATGGTACTGAGGGGCTGGCCGGGTGGCACAGTGGTTAAGTTCACACATTCAACTTCGGTGGCCCGGGGTTTACCAGTTGGGATCCCGGGTGCGGACCTACGCCATGCTGTAGCAGGTGTCCCACATAAAAAGTAGAGGAAGATGGGCACGGATGTTAGCTCAGGGCCAGTCTTCCTCAGCAAAAAGAGGAGGATTGGAAGCAGTTAGCTCAGGGCTAATCTTCCTCAAAAAAAAAAAAAAAAAAAAGGTACTGAAACAACTTGATATCTATACAGAAAAAAATTAACCTTGACCTCTACCTCATACCATATACAAAAATTAATCTGAAATAGACTATAAACCTAAATATTAATTGCCCCAGCATTCTGTCTGGAGGCACATTTTGGACACAAGTGCAGGAAAGAAGAGCCAAAGCACAGCACGGTGGTTTTGCTTAAGTGAGAAAATACAGACGGAAGTTAAGGGAGGCTGAAGTGGCTGGAAGTCACAGTGCTAAGTTCCAGAGAAGAGGGAACTAAGTAGAAAGAATTCTAGAATTCTGAATTGGAGTCCCCTGGAGTTTTGTTGAATACTAAGATAAGTGCAAGAAAGGTATAACTCCAAAGGACTGGGCAAAGGATAACCAAGAAACTGTAAGATGAGAAATTCTAAAATTTCACACAAGGTTGGGAGACACTTACATTCCAACCAACCAAAGCACAGAGACCAAAGCTTTCGGTAGAGATCCCAATAGGGTAAAGCCTTAGTAGCTAAATTAACCTTGCAATAAAAGCCACTTTAACTTTAGACTTACACAAAAAAAAGTTAACAGGATCAAGTTGATAAGTAATCTAACTGCTAACAGAAAAAATAAGTCCAACACCCTTTAAAAGAAGATAAAATCTGCACACTCAAAAATGTACATCTCTATAAAATTCACAATGTTCAGTATCCAATCAAAAGTTACTAAACATGTAAAGAAGCAGAGAAATGTGAACAATAACCAAGAAAAAAATCATTCAATAGAAACAGACCTGACAGAAATGATAGTGATAAAAGTGACAGAAGTGATAAAATTAGCAAAAGACACTAAAAGTCATTATAAATACCCTACATGTTCAAGGATTTAAAGAAAAACATGAACATTATGAGGGAAAGAGAATATATATATATATATAACTGAATACAACTTCAAGAGATGAAAAAAAGATTTCTGATATAAAAAACTATCCAGATATGATTAAAAACAATTAGACACTGCAGAAGAAAAGATCAGTGACTTGGAGACAATGCAAGAGAAACTATCCAAACTGAAGCATAAGAGGTAAAAAGATGGGGTGGGGGGGGTGGAAGGCAGTTTCACTGATCTTTAAACAATATCAAGTAGTCTAATATTTATATACATATATAGTTAGAGTCCCAGCAAAAGAGGAAAGAACATAACAGAGAAAAATGTTTGAAGACATAATGGCTGAAATTTTCTGAATTTCACGAAAACTATAAGCCCATCAATCCAAGAAGCTCAACAAAACCCAAGCATGATAAACTCAAAGAAAACCACACTAAGACATATTATCACCCAGTCACTGAAAAAAAAAATCTTAAAAGCAATCAGAGGAAAAAGGAACACTATGCAGAGAGTAACAAAGATAAGAACAAGCCAGAGGACTATGGAATAAGCATGAAAAGTATTTAAAAAAAAAAACAAAAAACTGTTAATCCAAAGAGAACAGACTAGTGGTTACCAGGGGAAAGGGGGGTGGGAGGGTGGGCACAAAGGGTGAAGTGGTGCAACTATAATATGACTGACAATGTACAAGTGAAATTTCACAAGGTTGTAAACTATCATAACCTCAATAAAAAATTTTTTTAAAAACTGTCCATCTACAATTATGTATCCATAAGGGAAATCCTTCAAAAATAAGGTAAAATAAATTCTAAGACAAACACAAACTAAGAGAATTTGTCACTCCAAGAAATGGTAAAGGAAGTGCTTTAGGCAGAAGGAAAATATCAGATGGAAACATGAATCTACAAGAAAGACAGAAGAGCAAATGGTTAATATGTGGGTGAAAATAACTTTTTTCTCATTTTTAATTGCTTTAAAATATGATTGATAGAGAAATTGGAACTCTTGTACACTGTTGGTGGGAATGTAAAATGGTGCAGCCACTATGGAAAACAGTATTGACTACTGCACGAAAAATTAACATGGATGAACCCTGAGAACATTATGCTAAGTGAAATAAGTCAGTCACAAATACTCTATAATTCCACTTATATGAGGAATCTAGAGTAGTCAAATTCATAGAGAGAGAAAGTAGAATGGTGGTTGCCAGGGGCTGGAGGAAGGAGAGAACGGGGGGCTCTTTAAGAGGTACAGAGTTTCAGTGTTGCAAGGTAAAAAGAGGTCTGTGGCTGGATGGTGGTAATGATAACACAATGTGAATGTCCTTAATGCCACTTAAGTGCATAATTAAAAATGGTTAAGATCGGGGCCGGCCCCATGGCCGAGTGGTTAAGTTCGTGTGCTCCACTTCAGCAGCCCAGGGTTTCGAATCCTCGGTGTGGACATGGCACCACTCATCAAGCCATGCTGAGGCGGCATCCCACATGCCACAACTAGAAGGACACACAACTAAAAATACACAACTATGTACCGGGGGCCTTTGGGGAGAAAAAGGAAAAATAAAATTAAAAAAAAAATGGTTAAGATGGTAAATTTTAAGTTATGGGTATTTTACCACAATTAAAATATGCAATAATATAAAAAAATATGACTGACTATTCAAAGCAAAAATAACAATATATGGTGGAGTTTATAACATATGTAAAATGTAAAGTTAATAAATGTATGGCAACAATAGCAGAAAGGAAAGGAAAAAGAAATGAACTATTCTCATGTAAGATTCATACATTATTCATGGTGTGGAATAATGTTATTTGAAGATAGATGTGATAAGTTAAAACTGCTCATTGTAAACCCCAGAGTAACCAATTAATAAAAAGAGAGAGGTATAGTTAATAAGCCAAAAATGAAGATAAAATGGAATGCTTAAAAAACGTTCAATTATCCAAAATAAGAAGAGAGAAAAGACTAGATGGGACAAATAGACAGAAGGTAGCAAAATGGGGGGACCACCTCATGGAGTAGTGGTTAAGTTCAGGGCACTCTGATTCGGCAGCCGGGATTTGTAGGTTCAGATCCCAGGCGCGGACCTACATCACTTGTCAACCATGCTGTGGTGGCAACCCACATTCAAAAGAGAGGAAGACTGGCACAGATGATAGCTCAGGGCTAATCTTTCTTAAGAAAAAAAAGAGAAAGATTGGCAACACGAATTTTGAGAGAGTACCATTCATTTGGGCTGCTTTTCTAACTGAAACTGTGTGTCTTGATGACACAACAGTAAAGTTTCAAATATGGAATATAGCTGGTCAAGAATGATAACATAGCCAGTACCAATGTACTAAGAGGAGCACAGGCAGCCATAGTTGTATATGATATCTCAAATGAGGAGTCCTTTGCAAGAACAAAAAACTGGGTTAAAGAACTTCGGAGGCAAGCAAGTCCTAATACTATCACAGCTTTACCGGGAAACAAGGCTGACCTAGAATAAAAGAGCTGTAGATTTCCAGGAAGCACAGTCCTATGCAGATAATAAGTTTAGTATTCACAGAGACATCAACTAAAAACATCAATAAACATAAATGAAATATTCACAATAATAGCTAAAAAGCTGCCAAAGAATGAACCACGAAATCCAGGAACAAACCGTGCCAGAAGAAGAGCAATAGACCTTACCGAGCCCACACAGCCAACCAGGGGTCAGTGCTGTGGTAACTAAACCTCCAGTTTGAACTAGATGGAATATTCTTCTGCTTCCTACATGTAAATAACAGTGGAAATGGAGCATTTAATCAGCCCAGTATGATTTTCAAAAAGAAGAGACTTATGATAGAGTCAAGTTTCTAATACAGAATTAAGTGTTTTGAACTTAATTTTTTAACATTCATGTGTCTCTCTAACGTTTCAGCAGAAGGAGAAAATGAGAGCTGTGTGTCCACCTGTTTTCTTGGAAGGTTGGGGGAATCACTTCTCATCAATAGAGAGATAGACAAACGACTATCTGGACCCACAGTTAACTAGACAGTTCCGTGAAAAAGTCTATGAAAAAGATTTGTAACTTATTAATTTAGGCTTTTCAAAAACATCCTTTTTTTAGGAAAATATTCTAAAGATAGTTATCCTTTGTTACAGCATTCAAGCAAACAGTAATTTCTCCTAGTATCTATATTTAAAGCGTACATTCCACATTTTAACAAATTAGCCACAAGGAAACAGTCCCATATCTTCAGGGGGTAAAAAAGTAACATCAGTGGCATCTAGACTATAGTCAGTCCTGTTATTTTTTAATGGGGTTAAAAAAAATCAAATGTAACCTTCTCTTGTTTTAGGAATACGAAAACTGATAAATGCATCGTTTTTAAGATTTTATTTTTCCTTCTTCTCCCCAAAGCCCCCCCAGTACACAGGTGCGTAATTTTAGTTGTGGGTGCTTCCAGTTACAGCATGTGGGATGCTGCCTCAGCACGGTCTGACGAGCGGCACCATGTCCACACCCAGGATCCGAACCAGCGAAACCCTGGGCAGCCGAAGCAGAGTTCGAGAACTTAGCCACTCGGCCACGGGGCCAGCCCCTGA